AGCAGCTATTAAGGTATCATAGAGAATATTAGTTAAAGATAAACAATGGTTAGCATGCAGTGATTTTTGTTCTATTGAATTCTCCTGAATCATTTTTTTTTTGCAATGGAAAGCCAAGTGATGAAAATTTGTGAATAGGTAAATACCGTGTTTTCCCGAGAATAAGACTCGGTCTCATTGGGGGGTTTTTTGCCTCCAAAAGAGGCACCAGGTCTTATTTTCTGGGGGTATCTTTTCCATGGTCTCACCTCGCGGCGGCGGCACTGACAGCTCTGCCCAGCCAGCCTACTTCTTCTGCAGCCGAAGGAAATGCCTCTGCAGCTGAGAATGGATTGACGCGTGCGCCCCCCCCCCCAGCCTGCATTTTGCTGACAGAGGCCTTCTGGAAAGGCCTCTGATGGCAAAATGCAGACCGGGGGCGGGGCGCTGCAGAAGAAGTGGGCCAGTGAGGCAAGGCAGGGAGGCCTGGCTGCAACAGTAAGCAGGTCCGGGGCGTGTGAGGCAGTTCCACCCCCACCCTAGCTTAATTTGTAGGCATGCGCCTCGCCCCAAAACTAGGGCTTATTTTGGGGGTAGGGCTTATATTAGGCCCACCCCCCCAAAATCAAGCTTATTTTCAGGGCAGTTCTTACCCCGAAAGAGAAAAAGAGCAAAATATTCAAAATGATTAACTCGTTCTGCAAAAAAGCAGAACTAATTTATTACATGCTTCCATTCTACATTTGTAAGCACTGTCAGCAACACTAATAATTATTGGATATTGAATCTGTAGTTTTGCAAAGACACCAGATCAACAACACATAGACTATTACAAGAAAAAGTTGCAGTGACATTTATGTTAAAATAATTTTTAATAACATTTATTTTAATGACATTTATGTTAAAATAATTTTTAATAACAACTTTGCTGTTATTTACTCACTGCCCTGATCCTGCCCCGCTTCATACTTTGAGCCAAGCCACAATATGGTTTGGTTGGTTTGTTTTGGCTTGGTATGTTGCATGAGCCCAAATAAGGTTCTTATTAACATTAGTTAATGCTTGGTATTTTGCATAAAACCAACTGCAGTTTAATGTTTGAATCAGAATAAGCCATGGTGCTGATAGCACAATATATCCAGCAGTTAACGAAAAAGGAACCTCAGGGATTTTTGTTATTCATAGAAATCAAGAATAAAATAGGATGGGTTTTTATATAGCATGCCTTATCCTGGAAAGATATCACATGATATATGATGCTATAAAGCAGACTCACATCTTGTCAACTTTCGAGGTAGTCCAGACAAGAAGCATACCCAGATGTACTACTTCTATTTTTATTGTAAGATTACATTAACAGAATTTTGCAAGTCTGAAAGTACATCTCTCTCCCCTTACCTTTACAATACAAGAAACTAAGTAGGCTTCCTTTTGAGATATTTGCGCACCCCTATCCATTCTGTGGGCTCACATGTCTCTTTTTTTACCATTGCCTAGTCTGTGGTTTTCTCCTGTCTCCCAAGATCATTCCCCATTTCCACAAACCATTACATTTACTTTTTAAAGAAAAATTCTGTTCATGTAGAGTCTGTCTATATTTAATCATTGGCAAAAATAATCTTTCCTCTTAATGGGCTGAGATCTTTTAGCACCTGAGGATGGATTCCATTCCATCCGCCAATGACTTCCATAGGGATAGGTCAGAGTCAAGAAGGTGACTCTGCAATAGAAAATCTAGCCTTTTAAAAAGTGCATTGTGCAAGTGACACACGTAGAAGGTGGGGCTTTGACCAAACAGTGATGGCCACCACATTGACTTTTTAAAACCTTTCTGCTGAAAACAAATCACTGTCAGTCAAGACAGTGTAACTACTGGTATTAGAGTTTTCTCCTTTCTACATAAGAAAGATAAGCAGGCAAGGTACATACTTCTCAAATATTATCAAACTGAATTATGCAGACTCCAAAATTTCCTAGTTCCTATGATCGTGTAATTGTACTTATGTGACATTCTGCTGCATTTTTGTTTTAAAAACAAAAATAGATTTAGCTTAATTTGCTTTGTGCTGGACTAACTACTTTATTGGTTGTTGTTTTTTTAATTTTAATAGTTGTAGACTAGCAATCTGGAAGGCACTGAACTGAGAAAAGCTGTAAGAGATAGTTAAACGTGTAGAACAATAATGCAATTCAATGATGACAAAAGGCATGGTACAAGACTCTTTTTTATTAGTTTGAATGTGTTAATGGAAATGTAATGATGGCTAAAGTTGTATCTGTAAACCATTTTCTCATGCAGCTTGTCAAGCAGAGGTATGCTACCTCTATGCTAAGTCACAATATCTCTGTGATTATATTAGAATTCCTGACATAATGGATCCTGTTGTTTGCGGGAAATGGTTTATTGCTGCTTGGCAACTGGGAATTATCATTCTTATGATTGTTATTTATCTAAATGTTCTCATTGTGGAATACAGGATACTATTATGAAGAGGGAATAGGTTCTTTCAGACTTTCTGAGATTGCCTGAAAGCTTTTGATGTATTTGAATTCAGCTACTTCCCACTCAGTGATGAGTGATGAAGTTACCCATTTTTCTAAAACAGTCACTTTAAGATCTGCTATAGAGTGTCCAAGAAGGTTGAAATGCTGTTTCTACGTTATCCTTGTTCTGAGTCCTGATGCCAAATTTCTTTCCCAAGAATTATTTTACACAAAATGTAGAATCCTGAGGAGTGTTGCTGGCAGATTATATCATTTATCATATTGGTGGAAGAGCATGTGAGGGCCCCTCTAATCTTGTTGGGGCCTGCGATGGTATAGTTGGGGGCAAAGTAGACACCAGGATTTCTTACAGGGTCTGATACCTATGGGATATAATTGTCCTGTTCTTTATTGCTTGTGAGAATCTACTTCAGGTTGGATTGTAGTCTGTATGTAAATATGGGCATGCCACCCAATGTCTAAAAAAGCATAGTACCATTGTCCAATATGAGCTCTGGCATATTAACATTGCATTTGAGTATTTTGAGCTGTAAGCTGTTATTAACAACCAGTGATGTTTTATAGTTTTGTTTGCGTGGTCTTTAAAATAATCTCTCCTGGAAATTGATTTGACTCTGTTGATTTGTCAATAGATTTCAATAGATGGTTAACTCAATGTCCTAAATGTCTGGTTTAACTCCATCAATTGAGCATCTCTGCCAAGTGGTTTGAAACAAATGCAACCGTAGCATACTGTCCGGCTATATATATGATAGATTTGATGATATTTTCATATGGATTCAACTTAACTTCCTCTTTCATGTCAATTTAATTTAATGATGTGTAATTTAAATTATACATCAGTCCAGCTTCTCTGTGCATTTGATGAAAGCTTATGTCTTTTAATAACATGTATTAATTGGAAAAGGTGTTACTAAACTATCTAATTATTATGACTGAGAATTAGTTCCCATGTAAAAAGCTGCACAACCTTCTGTGCAATTTTCTGGCAAATACTAGCAGGAGGTACAATTTTGGAAATAACAGGTTGCCCTGGTTAGGTTTTTGGTTGTTCTTCTGTTCCATGCATTATGCAAACATTATAGAATTTGCCCCTATAGAGACTCTGTTGATGGAATATAAATGACACGGGTGTCAAACTCGCCACGTCACATGATGTGTTGCGACATATCACAACTTTTTTTTGCATTGCCAGAGCTGGGGTGGGCGTGGCCTCTGTATGATAAACTGGCCCGTTGGCCGGCAGTTTCACACCCTACTGTACACAGTGAGTTACCTGATTATTTTTTCAGCTGTGCTGATGCAAAAAAAAAAAAAAAAGGGCTGAAGTGCTCCATGTTCTGTGACATCATCAACATGTTCAGAATACTTGCTTTCATATATAAAGAAATAAGCAGTGAGCAATTTTATGGACAGTGGGCCTCTGCAGAATTGGTAGTGATGTGCCAGGCGTATCTATCAGTGCTGCTATATTAGCATTAGTTCCAAGAACAAAGTGTTGCCTTGTGAATGTTCTACCACGTCAGCGTAAAGCTGAAACTACTTTATATTGGTGTCACTCCATAAGATGGCTTTCATTGTTCTTCAGTATTGTTGCTGCCCAGAGATTCTTTCACTCCAGATGTTCCCTAACAGTACACAGTCATTTTTATCAAGTTCTGTAACAGCAGTCACTTTTGTCAGGTTTAAAGTGTAGCAGGAAAAAAAAACGGAAATCTTTCACAGTTCACTTGACTGATGTTTTCAAGTTTAGATGTAAGCTCGTACAATATTGTATATGAAAGAAATCCCAATGGCAAAATATGAGACAGAAGCTACTACAGTATAGACCCGACCACATGATGTCTTTGTTATACAAGACAATTGCCCAAATCTCAATGCCCGTGCATAAATATAGGCATTCCTAGAGATCTCTCTCCCCAATATGCGGTTTTCATTCTGGCCAGTTTCTGGAATTATAACTTTCTAGCCAATCTAGCAACGAAATTTATTAGGAAGACCGAGCGCTCCATTTCTACCACTCTTCTTATAACTGACGCGACTGAAAGGCTCCGCAAAACAAAAAAAAACGCCAACGGCAGCGAGGGATGAAAAAAACAAAACAAAACAAAACAAAACGCTCCGAACAACCGATCCTCGCCCTCCCCCCGCCCCATGCACGCACGTAGGAAGGGACCTCACGCCCATTGGTCCGATTTTCTCCCCTCCTCGCTGCTTCTCCTCCGAGGCCCGGCGAAGCCGCTTCGCCGGCCTCCGAACAGACAAAGCGCCCGCTGGTTATTGGTGGTTCGGTTCCACATTTGAGCTGCCTCTCTGCGCACGGCGTCCAATCGGCTCATTGACATGCAAATCAGATACTATAAATAAGGCTGGGGCGGCGGCCCCGGGAGGAGGGGGCGCCGAGTGGGTTTGGGGGATCTGAGGATCGGCACCGGGACAGGAGAGCTTTTGGGAGCCCGGCTTTGCTGCCGTAAAGGAGCCGCCTCTCCTCCTTTCCTCTCCTCCCCATTCACCCGCCGGCCTGTCTGATTGTCGTTTGCTTTTGCTGCGTTTGCCCTCTACCGCTATGTCTCCTTCCTTTCGCTCCCAAAAAACCCGACCGAGCCGGGACGAGGAGGATTTCTCCCGGGCCAGAGGAGATAGGAAGGTGAGCCGCCGGGCAAGAGATGCCAACTGGGGGGCGGGGGGGGGGATTGTGTCTGTGTCCCTGAAACTCAAGCTGGCTCTCGTGCATGCATTCACACGCGCGTGCAGCGATTCGTTAGTGACGCCCTTTCCTTTTTTGCTTCCTCCCGCCTTTGCCAGGCAAGAAAGCCGCTGGTGGAGAAGAAGCGGCGAGCGCGAATCAACGAAAGCCTGCAAGAGCTACGCCTCATCTTGTCGGAAACCGAGGTAACTTGGCCGGCGGAATATTTGGGCTTGGGGGTCTTCGCAGGGGACCCGAGAGGAGGAGGAGGAGAGGGCGGCGGGGAGGCTCGGACTGACGCTCTTGTGTTCCGCTGTGCGTTTTTGCTTCCTGCTAGTTCCAGGCGAAGATGGAGAACGCCGAGGTGCTGGAGCTGACGGTGAAGCGAGTGCAGGGGATTCTGCAGAGCAGGTCGCTAGGTGAGTGTCGGCTGCCCCCATCATCCCTGCGCCTCGTTCTCCGAAGGGGGGGGGGAGAGGGGTTGGCTACATTAAAAGGGACGCTCCGGTAGATTGGCGAGTGAACTCCCGCAGGGGGGATGCTCCTGCTTAGCTTTTCCGTTCTAAAAGACACATTCATCGAGAACATAGGCTGTTACTTCCATGTAGTTCAGTGTTTCTCAACCTTGACAATTTTAAGGCATGTGGACTTCAACTCCCAGAATTCCACAGCCAGCAACTGCAATTACTCTCTGGGAAAGAGAGTAATACCTTTCAAAGTGCTTTGTGATTGTTAGGGTTTTTTGTTCTTTTCTTCAGTTAGACAGTATGCATTACCCCTTTCTTACAACTGGGTTAGGCCCAAGTTTATATTGGTATTTTGAACGTATCTTAAATATTCTTTTAGAACAAAACAAAGATCCTCCTCCTTGGCCGGTTTTATTCCACTCCTTACTCTTCATTATTTCAGTGTTTCCTTTCCCTGTATCTTTTGTTATCTCCATAGTTATTTTTCCCAATCTTAATTAGCTGGATACATTAGTCTGATGCAGCAAAAGCCGCAGAGCCCTGTGGCTTCGTAAAAGTGAAATTTTTAAAAATGTCAAAAAATAAGTTTTATGCATAGAATTTGAAAGGCTTTAATTATGTCAATTAGACATTCCCTCTTGGAAATAATGTGGCTGTTCCAATAAATTTTGAAATAAATTCTGATTATCCTTCCATTCGAGGTCCTAAAGTTACGTAGTTTAAAAGTGTTTTTCACAGACATGAGTGCAAGTGTAATAGAGTTTAAACATCTAGTTAACATTATGAGAAGGGGGGAGAATTGAATTCAAATACATTATTGATGGAAGAACTAGAAAGAAGTGATTTGTGACTTGGTTGTGTTTGTTTCCTTGTTTACCTGCATCTCAGATGATGACAAAATGCAGCGAGAGGCCAGTGAACGCTTTGCAGCTGGATATATTCAATGCATGCATGAAGTTCATACATTTGTCTCCAATTGTCCTGGGATTGATTCTACTATTGCAGCAGAGCTCTTGAATCACCTTTTGGAGTCAATGCCCCTGAATGAAGGCAGTTTTCAAGACCTGATTGTGGATGTCTTATCAGATCCCTCCATCAGCCAGTGGCCAAGTGGAGATGGGCCTTCCCAAATGCCTGGAGGATCACATGGAACTTTAAGCCTGTCCAGTCTCACTTCACCTCTTCCTTCACCTTCCTCCAGTGAAGAGATTTGCTCAGATCTGGAAGACACAGAGGCAGAGCAGAGCCACATCTCTTTGGATGGACTGGACAGGTCTCTGAGTCAAAATGTGCCTTCCTCCAGCCTTTCGAAGTCTTTGTGGAGACCATGGTAATAAACTTCACAAGAATCAACACAGATCTACCTAATAGGGAGAATACTTGAGCCCTGTGTTCTTCTAGCCATTGGAATATAGACGGTGAGGATTTCAGATAGTGCATTTATGCCATAAAATTAGTGTATGCAGGACTGTATAGCTGACACTCTTTCACTGTCAAATCCTGACAGATTGAATTGCTAAGTAACTTAACATTTCATCTGTGAGTTTGAGAACTGAAATTTGTATGTGTTTTTTTCTTAATTATTACTAGAGGTGTGGGGTTAAAAGATTTGGAAGTGTATGCAAAAGAGCTCTTTTGTTGATGCACAGCACTGTTTTTGCGGTACTTTTTTCTTGTGGGGATGTAGTAAGTGCCTCCAATACCGTGTAGTTTGGGTTAAGAAAAAGCCCTTGTGGATTTGAGAACTTGTTGGTTTAAACCAATTAAAGGCATGAAGTAAAGCATTAATGCAGAATTTCATATATTTTAATGATAGATTTTAAAAAATAAAAATAAAGCCAAGGAAAATCCCTGAAAGGGATTGGTGCAGCTAGTTTCTTGATGAGTTTAGTATTCTAGGATTTCTCCTTCAGTGAAGGAAGAAGAAACTGGAAACCAGGATTGAATTAGGTAAAGTTTTAGAACATTGGTGGCAGGGTGCCTTCTAGAAATGGGTTTTGTGCACGTCTAGCACAAAATGAATATGAATTTTACTGTGTCATGTATATTAATTTGTCAAATGTTTATTTTAATCTTTTTTAAAATAAAAGTTCACTGATTGCTTGTATTTTAAGGCACAATATTTCTGCTCTGGATATTCAGTTCCATGTTAGTGATTAACAAATATGTACCCTTGAGTGCAAACATTGGTAATTAAGCACTTAATTCTTGTACTGAACTTGTCTGTTCAAGTCCAGAGAAGCTGGAATGTTTCATTTGTTCTTGGACAGATCTTAATTTCAGCACACTAAATTCCTCAGATTTGTTCTGCGTCTTCCAGATTCACTCTTTGAAAATATATCCCAGCAGATTTTCAAGCTACCCAAGCATGCTCATTTAGAAGCAAGGATAAGTGTGTTGAGTATTGCTTGAACCTAAGTAAATGTGCATAGAAACCAATTTAAAACTAATAACTCTGACAGTTTAGACAAATGAAATGTGGTTGAATGGAAATCAGTTAATGACACATAATTGTTCAGAAAGCTTATAACCACAACTTTAAAAAAAAAAAATCTTCCACTGCATCCTTCCTCAGTTGTCTTTGAAAAAAAACAAGTGTTAGTACTCTTACTGTTATTTTTCCAGGAAGCCTTCATATCATAGATACCTATGCCAGTCTTCTCAACCTGATATTCTCTGTTTCCTTTATCCTCAGCCAGTACATTCAGCAAAGATGATTGAGAACCAGTGTTTTGGGCACCAGACTGCAGAAGTTGTTAACCTATGAAAGTGCCCCAATTTAGGAAACGGGAGGGATAAACATGTGGGCTGTCTGTGTAATAGTTCTTTTTGTTAACTATGTGGAACAATAAAAAGCGGAAACTATGTGGAAAATGTGTGCTTTGTAAACTGCTTTTTAGGCCATCTGTTGTGAATGGTCTTAATTAAAAGCCTCCTCAAAGAGTTGTTTCTCTCCAAGTGTGCTAATTTCTTATTCTCTCTCCCCCTTTGCCCCCCAAGAAGGAATGAGCTTCCTTGGAAAGGCCTTTCTGTTTCTAGGTAGATAGAGGAAGGGTTTTTTGTGTAAATCAAGCAATAGTATTGAGAGTGGAAATAACACCATATATGGATCGACAGTGTCTGCAAATATTGCAGGCCCAATTGGCAAAAGAAAGCTCAGGGCCATATTGCAGAAGAGGTCCTCATCCTGCAGTGGATGGACAATGGCTAAAATATGATCTAATGATGATATATAGTATGAGTATTTGGAGCAATGGAACTAACCTACATTCAGTATGTGATTAAATTCCATTAAAGTCAAACATAATCTGCCTCCAGTGTTAAGATTGTTTGCATTTAAAAGCACTGAAATAAAGAACAAAAATAGTTTTATATCCTTGGTTTCTTCCTCTATTGCAGACCATGAGAATATATTGTAGTGAGGAACTACAGAGTCCCATTTTCCATCCAAAAATGACATTGTTTTAGCCATGATGAGGAACCACTAAAAGATCAACAGAATAAACAAGTATATTTAGAATATTTTTGACAGTGCCATGTTCTATTTCAATTTTGAGAGTGAAAAGATGTTCTCAAAGTGAAGAGTTTAGAAAATATTTTCATATACACGCAGACAGAGCAGAATAGAATACTTCTCAGAATTTAAATGTTAATAAATAATGAACATTGTAATAAAAGGTGTTTTGTAACTTCTATCTGGAATGAAGAAAGATAGTGTATGCAAATACATATTTTTACATAATCAAGCTATTCTGGAAGAGCTTTTTGGAAGATTTTGAAGTAATTGAGGTGCATTTCTAAGCTACACTGCACATAGTGAACTGCATTCATTGATGAAAGCATTAGGATGACCTCATATATACATTTAGAACTTCTGTTTTCAAATAAACTATATAATATTTGAAAAATGTGTCACCCAGGTTCATAAAAGAGCCAAGATCTGAAATCATTTAAGACTGAAATGTTACTAAATTATCCTTTATGATACTTTTATAAAACCTCTTAATACTGTACTTCAAACGGATAAATGAGGGACATGTCAATATGCCATTTATTAAGTTAAAGTATGGATAAGGTAAGTGAATATCATTAGGCTTTTACAAAGAGGTGGTTCAGAAAAGTTAGCATTTTGAAAGGATATGAACACTAAGTATTTAATTGGGCTTGTGTATATTTGTGAAAAACATACAATGTGTTGAGATAGTAAGTCTAACAAACATAAACAGACCTCGTCAATTAAGTCTTACAAGAGGATTTCAATTCTTCTCACCTTGCTCTGTGTTTTCCTTTTGAACTGGACTTCCCCCCCCCCCTTCTCCCTTGGAAAGTAAGTGTAGCTACACAGGAGGCTGCAGCCAGAGTTGGGAAAACCTCATGTAGCCACAACAAAACATATCTGAGTGTGGAAGATTTTATTCTCAGCTATTTAAAATTTAACCATCTTCACCAATAAACCTTTGTTGTTATGGAGGTACAGTAAAAAAACCCGGCAAAAATAAAATCCAGTTCACATGTACACTTTATGTCAGAATTACTGTAGAGTCAGAACCTCTTATAATAAGTTGACCATTTCTTCTGTTTCAGAGGATAGAGCAGATAATGGTAAAATCCCGCCTGCCCCTGCCATATTTTGCACTATGGTTTTATGTGAGAACTGCCAAATCTTCATTACCAAATTATCTTTTGCATGGGGAAAAAGGTCTCCCATATATTTCATGCATTTTTTTGTATGTATGAAGAAGCCATCAAAATAAGCCAATAGTTAACTTCAGGAACCACAAAGAAATATAAACCAAGAAAAGGAAATAAAAGATGAAAGAGAAACCTAAAAGTGCAAGAATCTTTGCTTTGTATTAATATTAGTTTTTATCTTCCCTTAAATACTAAATAAAAATTAAATATAAAAAAATAAACTCTAGGAACTCACCCCCTCAGTTCTGTCATGGACAGAATGGCTTCAAGATGACATCAATAGTAATAGTCTTGAATCAGGTATGTTGTGTGTATGTATAGTGTGCTGTCATACAAAAGGTACAATCGATTAGTGGAAAACTCCATAACTGGAAATACGATATAGAGCTATCAAGGAGGTGGGACTCAAGGGCAAGGGACAGATTGAAATAAAGGATGATATCCAAGATCTATGCTTCAAGACTCAAGCTTCTTAGAAGTGAAGAAGCAATAGCAATTTTAGGATAAATACTATACTCGGTTGTTAATGCCTACTAAAAAGGTAGGGTAAACAGACACACGAAACTAAGAATTAGTAGTTGTGCTTCAAACTGAAGGAAGATTTGATTTCAGAATTTGAGATATATCAATATATATTTTTAAAAGGATGGATTGTTATGAGTAATACAGTAAAGACAGAAATTCTACTGTATTGTTTACTAGTTAGGGCACTAGAATTAAAATAGAAGGTAAGTATGTAAAGTTATTCTTTCAGAAAAGTAGGTTGAAGACCATTTCATCCTTTTCTTTTTCAACTGGCTAATTTATAATTAAAATGACAAAAAAAGCATTTGAGAAATGTTAAGAGATACTTTAATCCACAAATTAGGTTTACAGAAAGCTTACATCCCTTGATTAGGTGTTATAAGGTTTTCAAAAACTTTCACTTCTTTATTGCAAAGGTGTCAGATTTGACACTTCCTTGATAAAGGCAGGAAGAGGAACACTCCAAGGGGTGGGGGGAATGTGATTTCCAGCAGTTATACAAGTAGTCATCCTTTTTCTCTTCTTCCCACGAACTTCCTCATTCCTCCTCTAGTGATTGCTTTGTAGTCTTATTATGCTTTGTAATTACTTTGTTGTTTGTTAAGGAACAAAAATTTTGTAGCAATCTATTACTGGGCAGTTATTTATTATATTGGTATAATGCTAGATTTGCCAAGGATTCTCAATACTTTACAATTCATTGGATTTTAAATGTATTTGATTGTAAACCTATGTGTGTGTGTGTGTATGTATATATACATACATACATACATACATACATACATTCCTTACCCTATCATGCTGCAACAAGTAAGAGATAGATTGGAGATGCTTAGAGAAATTAGCTTTAACATCAATAAAGTTTCTTGTAAATAATGTTGACCCTAATAAAAAGGCTTCACAGGAAGATTATTGATACTTAAGTATACAATGTCAATGGAGGGGGGAATGTATTTATTTGATTAATGTCCTATCTTTTGAAAAAGTTCAAGGCAGCATACTTAATGCTTCCTCCTCCTATTTTTCCCATAGCAATCCTGTGAGGTATGTTGGACAGATGGGCAGTAACTGGCCAAACTCACCAAATAAGCCTCTGTGACTGAGGGTGGACTAGAATTTGGTTTTTCTCCACTCCAGTGTAATCCCTACATTATAATGGTTCTCAGTGTGTACAGATGATATTGTCAAAGTGAGTTCATTTAATTTTTAAACGGCCAGCAGGGACAAAAGTGCAGAAGGGGGATTATCCATTAAGGATTGGATATGGCCAACTAACCTTCTCTCTCCATTGGTTGTTTAAGGTCTATTTGGGCATCCACATGATGGTAGATTTGATTATTGCTTGCAAGTATTTGCTCACATGGCATAATAAAGACTCATTTCAAAACTGACAGATATTTTTTGGACTCACCTTGTTTAAATACAGTATATAAGGGAGAATGCTGTCCAAAGTGAACTAGAAAGCCAAGCATCTATATATGTATCAGCTTTAGTAGGAAGACCATGTCAGGAAATCAGCTTCATAAGAAGTACAATGTCACTTTTATTAAGATTAGGTCTAACAACACAATCTTGCAACTCTGATGGTGATATGCCTCCATCACCGTCAGCAATTAGGGAAGCATGAGAACAGCTTCCAAATGTTATCTTCTTGTTCTGGAATTAAAAAATAATTTTGCCTCTTTTGCCTAGATAATGATTCCTGTATATCTTTGTTAAGGTCATCTTTCTTACTCTGTAATATGTAAAAAGAATCCAGATGAATCCAGATATAAAGAGCTAAGGAGCACAAAATAGTTTGCCAAGAAGGATGTATTCTAGTGGTCAGCCTGTATCACGATTGCTAGATATGTAAGTCAAATGTAATTTCAAAATATAGGGGAGTTTTGTCCCCAGCATGCTTTAATATGCTACCAAGAGTTATCTTGGAAAAAAGATACAAGAAAATCCCATAAGAAGATGGGCTTCATTGGTGTGAGATGGGTCTTATGGAAACCATAGCTCATTTTTTTCTCCTATAAGAATGTCTGTGTATGATATATATCCCTGTTAATACAGGTAGTCCTCGACTTATGACCACAATTCAGCCACAAATTTATGTTTCTAAGTAAAGTTTTGCCCATTTTATACTTTTCTTGCCACGTTGTCTAGCGAATAACTTTGGTTGTTAAGTTAGTAACATGGTTGTTAAGTGAATCTGGCTTCCCCATTGACTTTGCTTGTTAGAAAGTCACAAAATGTGCTCACATTACCCCAGGACACTGCAACTACCATAAATATGAGTCAGATGCCAGGCTTCTGAATTTGAGTTATTAAAGTTATTAGGTTCACAGAAATTCAGCTCATATTGCTAATGCACTTTAATTCATTTTTGTATGACTTTTTAGTTGCTATTATTCTTCTCCCTTAATTCCTATTCAACATCTACAACAGTATGAGGGAAAGATTAAAATTTATCAGTTTCTCTTTTTCTTGTTAAATAGAAAAAAATAAACAAACGGGGGGCAGAGGATTGGCAACCTTTTAAAGGTATTATAAAGTGGTTTGCTTCCTTGCAGCTCAAATTGTTTCTTGCTAATTGTTTAAAAGAATTATACAAGTTAAGGATAGTAGTATGAAACTTACAACATCACAGCTAATGATACATTAGTTATTTAATCATTCTTTTCGCTACTTGCTATATTACTAGTTATATAATTCCAAAATGTAACGTATTTGCAATTTTA